AATTCGTCCATCACTTCATCGTGGAAGTAGTGTACATTTAAAAGTAAGCGGTGGTAGTACTAATTATACAGAAGAAGAAAAAAGAGTTTTGCTTCATAGTTCCCATATTAATGATCATGAATTTGTACCTTTCATGAGCATTGATCTTACAGAAAAGTTTCAGTATGCTATTCCATTTACTGATAAAGATGGTTTGTTAGCATTAGCACCAAAACAAAAACCTGACTTTGCAAAATGGTGTCGACCAGAAGAATTATTTTCTGATCCAAAAATGCTTAAAACATCACATGTTGATTACTACAGTATAAGACAGACGGTTGGTCATTAATAATGATTTTTATATTAATGATTTTTGAATATTGGAATTTAATTGAATATTTAATTTCAGGTTGTTTCTGATTGTTCTTTTGTTGCTTCCCTTGCAGTTAGTGCTCAATATGAAAAAAGATTTGGACGTAGACTTATTACATCTATTATTTATCCAAAAAATAAAAACAAAGAACCAATATATAATCCATTTGGTAAGAATTTATATTTTGCTGTACAACTTACGAATTTTTTTTTAAGTTGTAAGAATCAGCAGTTTTTAATTTTCCTAGAATTTTACTTCAATGAAAATTAAATTGCGAGTATTTTATATTAGGAAAATATATGGTGAAACTACACATTAATGGTGTTCCTCGAAAAATTATAATAGATGACTTATTGCCTGTAAGTCGATACAACCAATTACTTTGTTCCTACTCTAGCAATCATGGTGAGCTGTGGATTTCGTTACTCGAAAAAGCATATATGAAAGTAATGGGTGGTTATGATTTTCCTGGCTCGAATAGTGTAAGTTTATTTATATAAATAATCACAAAAATTATAAATAAAGAATTTAAATTATTATTTCATAGTGACATATTTTTATCTAGAATATAGATTTACATGCTTTAACTGGTTGGATACCAGAAAGATGGGCTATAAGACCTAATGAGCCTGATTTTAATAAGGATAATCTATTTAGTGTTTTATTAACGCGTTTACATAAAGGAGATGTATTAGTTACAGTTGCTACTGGAGAATTATCCGATTTGGAAGCAGATAGAACGGGTCTTGTACCTACTCATGCCTATGCTGTTCTTGATGTTAGAAAAATAAATGTAATCAATTATTTTTTAATTATTTAAAAATAATTAAATAATTTAAAATATATAGAATAGAGCAATAACCAATAATAGAATTAAACAAAAGATGATTCTGCGAAAAAATAAGAAAAAAAGTTCTATATTTTTTCCTTCAATACTTTATTTTTGAAAAAATCGATTTTGAAGATTTCATAAATTGAATATGTTGTATTCTGTTATTGATTATCTTAGTCTAAGTTAGAATAAATAATAATTAATAAATTTTTTAATTTTTTCATGTTAAAGAATAAGAAAGTAAATAAAAGCAAAAAATAAATTAATTTCTTCAATCATTTTTAATTTGTTGAACAAAGCTAAATACAACAAAAGATTTTCAAAAATAAATAATAAAAGACAATAAAATAATTTGCAAAAATACTTTGTATTAATTTAATTGTATCATTACCAATGTTTATAAATACTATTTTAAATTTTATTATTTATAGTTAGTCAATAATAAAATACATAATAACCAAATTATATTCAGTTGCAAATTTAATATTAATTTTTTTTTTATTTTTTTTATGTAAAATCATTTTCTTTTTGATCGTATTGTGATTACTGTTCTACTCCAAATAAGTTTGTATCTCACAAGTAAATTTATAAATGTAAATTTATTTTTATAGGAAGAAAGATTATTGCAACTTAAAAATCCTTGGTCCCATTTACGATGGAAAGGAAATTATTCTGAACTTGATACAATACATTGGACTAATGAATTAAAAGAAGCTTTAAACTATGATCCAGATTCTGCATCTCAGTTTGATAATGGAGTTTTTTGGATTGATTATGATAGTATATGTCGATTCTTCGATGTTTTTTATTTGAACTGGAATCCAGGTTTATTTAATTATACTTATTGCATTCATCAGTAAGTTATTAAATTAGTTTATTTAAATCTTATC